TATTCACAACAAAAGCAGTAACCACAGAGGTCCCCAGAGAGACAAACATCAAATGCATAAATCAGGGCTAAACAACATCAACTACATCATTTTCTTGTCAACAGTTCCTTAACCCAAGGGAACAAGCAGACAACAGCAGATCATGAGCATTCTACAAGACTATGGGCCTGGAGTCCTCAAAATTACCAATTGTCAAGAGACACAAACACAGCGAGGGAGATGCCCTCACTTGGGGGATTGGGGAACAACAAGACAAGCAGGTGTGGGGTGTGATCTTGGATGGTGTCTTAGATTCACAAACAAGCTCAGTAGGACATTTTGGGAACACTTGGGGAATTCACTATACAGATTATATTATTAATATTAGATGTTCTTATACTAAGTTTCTTAGGTGTGACAATGGCACTACTATGTAAGAGAATGCACTTTTCATGGGAAATATACAATGTTATCTTTGGCTGAACTACCTAAAAGCTGTAGACATCATGACATCTTATCTTCCAACCATCTCAGTGTTGAAGGGGGTACTGACGCTGGGGTTCTAGGTGAAAGGTATAAGAAAACCCATGGTGTTGTTCTATCAACTTTTCTGTCACCCTTGAAATTTTCTCAAAATTGGTGTCAGTGGATTTCTGATCATAGACTTTTGTTTTCCTGAAGCAGCAACCTCTACCAACATGTGGTCAAGATAGGACCACAGAAAGTCAATATAAGCCCAGCACTGTAGGAAACCCATGATGCATTATACCATGTTCTACATAATGACCAATGTTCTATGCTTGCACTTGGATCTCTTTGCCTTCCGAGCTCTCCATCTACCACCACAATTTTCGCTGGGGTTTTTTGGTGGCTCAAACTTCCAATGTGACCAGATCACCTAAGCCAAAGGTCCTTGTGTTAAGTGCCCCTAGATCCCTACCCTCACTGTATCATCGTGTCAAAGAGAAAGCTACAGAGGCTCAAGGAGTGAAATGACTTCCAAGAGGCGGCCAGTGAAGCAAGACCGAAGAACCATTCCCTGTCCTACTACTCTTTCCTTACCTAGGATGCCTCCCAGGTCCTGAAAAGACCTTGACTCTGGAGGAAACTGCATCTCAGATGTGTGTGAAAGTCAGAACCACTTTCATAACTAAGCCACAATTAACAATCTTGGGGCTGGTAGAATTGACACATTCTAGCATATATCTCAGATCTCATACCTCTGTGGACACTCTCAATGAGTCTGAGTTAGGGCTCAGTATTTTAGAAAGAATATGTGGAAATGAGGCTGGAGCCCATCTGATGGGTGATTATTTTCTGATCTTTTTCTTTCTCTCAGAGCACAAAGACAAGGAGGTTCCAAAGGGGCTCTTATCCCTCTAGATTCCATCTGGAATAGATTGGCACTGAGACTTAAGGTCTATACAGATTTCATATCAGGATGAAGTTGATAAAAAAAAAACAATGGCCTGTCTCAGCTTATATGCATAATCACCAGATGTCTTCTCAATCAGGTGCACAGAAAACATACAGGTGTGTCCATCTACTATGACCATTCTGAGTGCTGGCACTCCTGTCAATAAATCACCCACCATGGCTCTCACAGCCTTCCCAGGAGAGTGATAGATTGAATTTTGAGCATGGGATTTCTGGTCTTAGAAACTGCTGCCTTGGCCTCCAGACTGAGTGGGATAACCAGAAAGCACAGAGCTGGTTCCAGTTTGGTGCCACACAGAGAATCTCAAAACTTAAAAAGGGTGATTCCCTCTGATGTTCAAAGTCTAATAGGCTAATGGGTGAGACAGCACCTTCTTCCTGGGATGGGTACCTTTAAGGGTCAAAATGGGATGAACACTAGAAATCAGCAAGCCCAGAGCCCTGGGTTACTCCATAGCATTGTCTACCTCTTCCTGTCCTTCATGAAATAAAGATGGAGACCACTTAGTGAAGAGTTCAAGTGAGTCAGATATCTTATTAAGTATATACAAGGCAAATTGACTTCCAGGAACTGGACAGCAAGCCAGGCTCCAGTCCCTGAAGCTGAATCCCTTATGCAAACAACCTGGCATGAGGTCGTTCCCTTGCTGTTGAAGGGGTTTGGTTAACTGGAGGGAAGGTTACAATAATCAATTGGCTGAAAGAAGTTGTCAAGTACATGAGAAGCAGAGAAAGGCCTTGGCCAGAGACACAATACAGTCCAGGAGTAGGGTATCTTTGGAATGTGTAGAACAGCAACAAAGCAGCTAGCACAACAGCAAAATGAAGTGTGAAGACCTATATTCTGGACCTATAACATGACCTCAGATATGTTGACCTTCCTGAACATCGGTCTCCTCTTCTGAAAATGAGGGAGTCAGTGGTGATCCCCCAAAGGAGCACATCACTGGATATGCCCAGAGAAAAATCTCATAGGTTCCCTGATAAGGAACAAACTGGTCATTTGAGAAGATCCACTCTCAGGATGATAAGCCAAGATTCATTCCCTCCCTCCATGCTTTCATGTTGGACTTGAAAGAGACAACTTGGTGCCCTTTCTTCCAAAGCTGAACTGGCAATAAATAGCCAAAGACATGGGAGGGTTACAAGAACAAATTCACTCTACAAATATTAACCTTGCAGTGGGGCAGGTCAGCTATGTGAGAATATAGAAAGTGTTGTCTATACTTCCCTGGGAAGAGGGGATCTCCCTGCCATTAAATCTTTCCAACACAGTGGTCACTATTGACCACTTTGCACAGACACATGAGTAGGAAGCCAGCTCTGAAGATAGACTGATCCTATATCCCAGTGACTTGACTCCTTGGCCTAACAGCTGGCCCTATGGAGACACAGAGCAGGGTCCCTCCTCCACTGGAAGGCTAAGTCTGAACACCTTGGAATCAGGGAGTCCACCTTCTGGACCCTTCTGAGTAGGGACTGAGAATGGATCCTTGGTTTTCTCAGTGCCTCAGTGATATACAGATGAGAGGTGATCACACACACACCCCATTTGAGGGTAAATCTTACAACAATTTTCAGGGGGATTCCTACATGTGTTCCAGGAAGCCTCCTCCGAGGCATGAAGTGCTCTGCATATAAGCATCAGGATTGTCATGCCTGTGACCCAAAAGAGCCAACAATCTCTTTGCAGAGCAAAACTTTCAAGAAGAGTGATGCTTCTATTCTCTGGACAGACTTCAGAACCCTGTGCAGGACATTCCATACAACAAAATCTCAAACAAGTGAACTGATAAAGACCTTGAAGTTTGTATATGTCAACTTTGGCCGAGAGAGTCTAAGGTTCACAGACTCCTTTTGAAGGTCCCATGTCCTAGACGAAGGGGGATACTTCAACAGGGGCGTAGCCTTAAGTGCATGCATTGACTTTCCAGAGGAGTCCTGGATGCTCCCGGTTTCAGCCCAATGGCACACATGCTTGGGACTGGTGGCATTTGGGTGCTGTGTCCTTTAAGAAATCTTCAAGACCAGTAAGTGCGTTCCTTGTGCATGCGTAGTGTAGCCAAAGCCCATTTCCATCCAAAAGCCAGGAACTTCCAGTGTGCGAAGGAGTGGAAGAATGAGTGAGTGGGTGACTTTTAGAGATGAAAGGGATGGCAATGAGAGAAATTAGAGTCCCTCTGTGAATGTGGAGGCTGAGCTGCCCTCAGACCCCTGCGATTGAAAGGGTCTACATACGATGTGCCATATACTCTAGCCTAAACTAAGGGGTTACCCTTTATTGAAAGTGGGGAAGAATTTCTCCACTACCTAGACAAAAGCATCCCCTGAGATTGACAATTTCTCAGTAGGCCAAGATACAGCCTCTAAACTCTTCCTGAGACCAACGTGAACTTCTCCCTATTTATAGAGCAAATGCATTTAGAGAATCTTCCCTAAAATATATATCTCTATATATCTCTTTCTCTCTATATATATATATATCTTTAAACAAGGAATGCCCTGTCACTTTGTTATTAGGAAAAGAAACCACATTGTCATTCTGATACCCATTCTCATCCAAGCATTCCAAAACTAGAACTCTTATCCATGCAGGTAGAGGCTTCAGAGTCATCATCGTCATAGTCATCATCGTTAGGAAGAGGGAAATAATAAAATAGATACTTTTGGGTCCCAACAATTTTCCTGTTTACCCTGACAACTCCAGCTGCAGGGAAAACTGTTGGAACTGGAAATGCTGAAATTAAAAATGTCTTGAGTAAGTTGACACTGGTGGCTTTTGGCTATTCCTTTGCAACCTTTGCTTTCTTGTGTCAAATGATGCATACGTGCTTCTTAAGATTTAATTTTAAACTGGAAATCTAACCTGATCCCTGTGGTCTTGCCCACCTATACCCTAAAAAGTAGCGAATGATATTCAGAAGCCATCCATTTGAAACTATGGCCATATGACACATCTTGGGTCAAAAGTGCTTTTATGGGGTGTGCTCAATTTGGCAAGGTGATCAACCTTGCAGGATTTAGTTTGTTTGGAAGCAGCCTCGAGGAGACTGTTAATGAAATTGTATGAGTGAGAAGGGAAGTGAATACCTGATACTTTCCACCTTGTCGCACAACACACCTGCACACAGAAGCATACATACTCATTTTGCACATTCGCACATACAGCCACCCAGTCCTTGGGGAAGAAGAGAGGAGTTAGGTCTGAGACATCACTACAGGTAGGCAGTCAAAGGCTTCGGGTTGGGCATCCTCTCAACTCTTGGTGCTCTTGTTCTAGGAAAGCCATCCCAGGGTAGGCAGAAATGTAAGGCATAGCTCTGCTGGGGAGAAAGCAAGGAATCCATGCTACATGCTCAGGTGCAAGTTTCAGAGAGGATTTGGGCCTCTATTTTCCCTTTGGACAGCTCTGCCTAGCTGGAAAGGTGGGAAGGAAATGAAACCAGGAAAGGAGGGAAGAAAGGAATGATGATGACCATAATCACAAAAGAGAGTAATAATAAATAAGGAGGGAAAGAGGAGTTGGGCCAATGGAACTTACATCTGCATGACAAATGACTCTTCTGTTTACTTCCCTCCCACACTTAGATGGAATTGCGACGAAAGGCCAGCCTGTGGTTCTCTCCGCAGATGTGCATCCCGTGCATCCCGTGCATTCCGTGCATCCCGTGCATCCCGTGCATCCCGTGCATTCCGTGCATTCCGTGCATCCCGTTTCCAAATTGGGTACGAAAGCAGGTGTGCATCAGTGCGTTTGGGGAGATCTCTTGAACTCTGCAGGAAACGGAGTGGACAATGGCCCGGACTTGTCTGGTATGCACAGCAGGAGCAGGAGCAGGAGCAGGAGCAGGAGCAGGAGCAGGACCAGGAGCAGGACCAGGAGCAGGAGCAGGACCAGGAGCAGGACCAGGAGCAGGACCAGGAGCAACAACTTCTTCATGGACAGCATCATCATCATCCTGGTCACCAACACCAAATGGGAAGCAGAGATAGCACAGGGTCCTGCCATATCTCTTCAGGAACGACTGAGCCTGGAACCTACGGCGGGCGCCTGGCACACCGATGAACATTCTGGCTGGGTGTCCAGCAAGTATCTGTGCAACTTCTCCCTCCAGCAGCTCCTCATCGGTGTTCATAGTCAGGAATCGCAGGACCACGAGATTGAGAAAGGCACCAATGACGGTCAACCCCACCAGGATATACATGAAGCTGAAGGCCACATAGAATGGCTTCCTCTGCAGGGCACCTTTGGCTTGCAGGGCCACAAAGTCCCCGAATCCTATAGTAGTCAGTGTAATGAAGCAGTAGTAGTAGGCGTGAAAGAAGCTCCAGTCCTCGCACTTGGAGAAGGCAGCGGCCCCAAGGCACAGGGTGCCCATACAGGAGAAAAAGCCGACGGTCACCATGTTTTCCATAGAAACATCAGTGTTGCGCATGCCACAGCACTTCTTGAAACGCTTCAGCAGGCAGCGCACGAAGGTATTCATGCGCTCACCCAAGCTCTGGAACATGACCAGCGTCAGGGGGATGCCCAACACAGCATAGAACATACAGAAGGCCTTGCCAGCATCTGTGCCAGGTGCAGCATGTCCATAGCCTATGGGAAGGAAAATAAGAGTGGGGACAGTAGTCAGAAAAAGTTCTGTGAGGTTCGGGAATAAAGATGGAAATGTCAGGCACTTCTAACAGTGAGGAGATTGGAGCATAGAAAGACAAAGAACCAGTTCAAAAGTCCCATGAGCACTGGGGTAGGAGAGATTTGCAGACATGTCAATACAAAGGGATTTGGCATACAGATTAAGCACCTCCCTGAACTCCTGATCCCCCTACCTCCACCTTCCAAGTGCTGTGATGACAGACAGGTAGGTACTCTCAAGACTTTTGGAGTATCAGCATGATGCCACAAATAGAAGATTCCATACAGCGAAACTTTGTGCTTGATCTAAAAATCTCCCAAAGTGCTTGCATTTGCAATGGAGTCACTTCTCTAAAATAGTTAATCATATAGATACAAATATCCCCAAATCTGAAAAGATCCCAAACCCCAAGCACCAAAATGGGTAAGAGGATTTTGGATAAGGGATGCTTATTAGCCTTAACTACTTTACCACCTGGGAGGCAAGGAAGACTCATTTGAAAATTATCTCTTGTAACAGCTTGATATCTAAGAGGCTGAGGCTGTGGTTGATATCAGGGAGGCTGAGGCATGTCCATGTTCTTAGAGTAACAGCATATTTACCATTAAGAAAGTTACCAAAGTACAAAAACTCAAGAGAGAAAATGGAATCTCCCTACCACGAATCCACATAAAGGGTAAATGCTGAAAGAACAGCCACTGTGTGCCTGCAGAAGGCTGACTCCTCATTTGTGTAACTGTATAATGACCCTAATCAATTAGGGTAATGACTCCAAGCCCACAAACAAGAAAGCCAGTAAGTGACTTAGCAGGGTAACTAACCTTACATCTTCAGAACTGGGTTATGAGCCTGGTATGTTGAGAAAATGAGGCTAAAAGCAAATATTTAAATTGGGAGAAGTGGCAGAACTGGAAGAACTTGATTTTGTTCACTTTGTTCATTGCTGTATCCCACACCTAGGCAGTTCCTCAAAGGTGGAACATTGGTCTGGTAATAGAATGTGATCTTGTATCAAAAGTAACCTTGATAGAGAGAGAACACATAGCCCTCAAAGACTTTAGTACCTATTGGTTCTAGTTCAAGTTCTTAGATGATTATTGCCCCCAAAAAAGTACATCATGGACAGTGTTTGAACTGAGAATTTGAAGGCTAGAAGTCATCTTCAAAGCCTGTGCCATCAAGAAAGGTGATATGTATGTTTCCGGAGTCACATGTTCATGGTCACTTCACCACCTGTATTATGTTATACCACAGAGAGTCTCTGTCAGCTGACATGGGATGATAATGTTTCTAGGTGGATTGTTGGCAGATCTTCTGAGACCAGAAACATAATATGAACCTACCAAACTCAAGTATCCCTCCCATCCCAGTTTCTATTCTACACTCACTCATCTGCTATAGTTTATGGTCTCTCCAGAAGACCTCAATCTCTCTGGTCCCCATCCCCTCTAGCCAAGCCAGCACCAAACTCTGTTGTCTCTGATACCCATCATCCATTACAAGGGGAAATAAATGGCATGGCACAAAGTTAGAACCAGGCCAGAGAGGTTAAGAGTGGGGAGAGAGAAAAGCACAGAAGGACTGCAATGTATAGTTTGATAGAAATCAACCAGTGTGAAGAATGAAGAGAGAAAAAAGATTGAAAGAAGCAAGCTACAAAGCCTCATGGACAAGGAGATAGCAAGAAGATATTCTAGAAAGAATGATAAAATGAAAAATGTGAGAAATAATGGCCCAAATCAACTACATTTTGTGAAAGAGAGATTGACAAGTTCAATAATGTCTGTAAACTCTGAATAGAATAAATGTTTTTTTAAAAAGGCACATATCAGTTAAGTGATAAGAAAGCCAGAGAGGCCTGCTGGAAAGGCAGAAAGAGAAAAATGACACAAATACTACAGAAAAAAAAAACACCACTTGGACTACTGACTTCTAATCATAAGCAATGGAGGCCAAGAAGCAATTGTAGCCATGTCAGCACAGAGTCAAGGGAGAAAAAAAAAACACTAAGAATTCCACATCCAAAAGAGACAACCTTCATTTTCAGCTTTTCAAGGGTGGAGAATTCAACACCATCAGATCTTCACAGTACACTTATTGGAGGAGGACGCTCTGCCCAAAAGAAGACACCAGATTGAAATTTGGGTCTTCATGGAAAAGTGAATTGTGTGGTGGTAAATATAAAACACACGGGTGGGGATTCCCACTCCTTCTCTATGGAGCTCACCTGCATAGCAGATATCAAAGCTGCATGGGGTGGAATAACAGGGGGCTTCTGGGAACTCAGTAAGCACATAACCATTCTATATGTGATATATTTAATGGAGGAAATCAACACAGCATCATACAGGTCAAAAGCTGTGGGTTAGATCTTACTGTCCCTATCTGACTCTCATGTACAAGTCTAGTTCTAAGAGTGCTTCCAAAGCCTCCAACAGAAGCCTGTTTTCATTTAGACAAGGTCTCACTCCTAATACAGTCTGGCCTGGAACTCACTACATAGCTTTGCCTTGTGTTCACAGAAATCCCCCTATCTCAGTCACCTAAGTGTTTGGACGGCAGGCATGAGCTGCCACTTCAGGCTTTCAGGAACCATCTTTGAATTCTCACTACAATGCAGTCTTGCCTAGTAGTCAAGATTGGCACCTGACGTAGGCCAATTGAGCTTGAGCCCAGATTGCCACCTTAGAGACAACAGTCAGGATCCTCTATCCCCCAGCCTCATTCTTCTGTTTATCGTGTTTACTATGGTGCCAGGTGAGGGTGCCCTGTTGCCTCTTCCAGCTGCCCAGCATGAAGAAGATGGTGTTAGGGAATTTAATACTGGAAAGAAATAAAATATTTATGAATGACAGACAGTTTTTCATCACAGTAGGGATTAAAGCACAAATCCCAGTGAAGGATGACTCAGGGTGGCTTTGAGAAGAGACATGCTGGGGAAGGGAGCTAACCTCAGCCCCTTATGCTTCTGGAATAATTCCCACTTCTGCCCACAATGCAGCTAGCCTCCCATCCATCCTCCCACAAGCTCCAAAAATTTTCTAGACCTCACTTCCCTCTCCTGCAAAGAGGACATGAAGAGACACAATCTCCTTAAGACACGTAGCATTTTTATAGCTTTCTCTCCTGAATTTAGTCTTTCCTTTGGAAGACGGAGGTGTCAGTTTGTGGTTACCACATGCTAATCCATCTCTTATTCACAGAGCCCTCTGTGTTCTGCAGAGGGAAACCTGGCAGGTTGTCTTATATAATGAAAAAGTGCACACCCCTCTATGTGCTTCTCTGATGCCCGGGAGAAACCTGGCTTCCTGGTCAGTTACCTTTAACTTTGTGTCTTAAAAGTGCAAATGAACCCCAAATACATTTTGTGATATGTAAGAGAAAAAGCATGATTTTTTTTCCTGGAATTTGGACAAAGGAAAGGACTGAGATGGCTTCCATCCATAAAAGGTCCACAAAACCCTGTTTCATAGGGCAATGTGGTGCCGCTGAGACACCTGTCAATGTGAACCCCAAGCCACACATCAAGTTGCCTGAAATGGGACACGCTCAAGGCCCCAAGTATCTCAGGCTTAGATTCACAGCTTCTCGCTGCTTTTAAGAAAGGCTGGGGCTCCATATCGTCCTCCACACAAGCTTGCTTCTAGAAGCAGCTCTGGAAATGCTGTCCACAAAGAGCCCACGGGGTGGCAGGATGGTGGAAGCGTTGGCCTGTGATTGTCCTCAGCCTACCACCAGAGGTACAAGGGTGCCCTCTGGCGGTCGATCTATCAATGCAAATCATGAATCGCAGGCACAGGTCCCAAATGCCCAGTTTCCCTCCTGGGATATGTTCAAGAATCACAGGGGAAACTCACCAAACTTTTTCTCTGGCAAAACAGTGGATTTTTCTCTTGGAAATCAACAGCATTTGGGCACAGATAAAATATAAAAACAGTGATGACTAGTGTTTATTGAGAGCACATTGTACCAGGGGCTGAGCTAAAAAACCTTTTTACACTCAATAACTTATCTCCTGGGGAAAGAGGGTGCAAACAAACACCAAATACATTCTTAACCTTTCCATGTAGTCAATATTCTCCTCAGCATAGATGAGGTCAGGCCCACCATGTTGGGCATTTAGCATGGTGATTTTCTAAGTTTCCATGCCAAACTGATCTAGGCCTTGATCCCAAGCCCCCACTGTCAGCCACAGCCACAATGCAAATTAGGTGTCCACATTGCCCCCTTGGTCAGAAAATGGAAACTCAGGTCCTCCCATTGCATCCACACAAAACCTTCTTCACTTCCTGCCATTCTTTCCTGTACTCTCCACCATCCAAAAAATCTCTACAAGAAAATGTGGAGAGACAAATCAAAGACTCATAAGGGAAATAAAAGGATAGAAATCTGGCTGATGTTTGAGAAGTCTGTGATAATTTTTTTTTAAAAAATCAGTACTAGTTGGCAGCCACTGAGCCTTAGGTTGGCATGGTTCAGCAGGAGGAAGTGCACACTGTTTCCCTCCCTAGACTAATGGCGTCAGCTCAAATGGCTTTGTGTCAGCTATAGTGAAGCAAGACTTAGGGGTGATCAGAGGTAAGAGAAGCTGTGACCTTGACAGGGAAAGCCTGATCTGTTTGAGTGTCAGCCTTGACATTTCACATGATCTCTGGCCTCTGACATCTCTACAGTAGTCTATTCTGGAAGCTAGCCTGGATTATTCACACTGATCTCTAATGAGGACTTAAGCTCACAGTCTACTGTGTGTTGTCTTATGATACAGTGTGCCTTTGTGGGCTGTGGTGAAACAGGGAGTTGGATGGATTCCAAGGGGCCAACAAGGTCCCCAAAGACAAGTATCTACCTATTTAAGCTTCTTGGCTGAAGCTTCACAGTGAGAAAACCATGCCATAGTGCAGCATTGTCCTTGATATCCTCCATAAAAAGGCAAGGATAACAGTCGCTGGGGTGGACACTT